AGCTAAAGATCACATGCTACACCTTGGCCACATTGTGGGACACTTTTAACGGCTGAAGTTATACAACCGCATGAACTACACACATGACTTATTTTGTTTCCTTCCCTTGAGCTGTACAATTCTAATGCAAAAGCCTCTTTAAAGGCCCAAAGATGGGTTGCAGGACTCGTCTTTGAGTAGCTGACAGGAGGTGTGTGGGTAGCAGGGGGGTCTATGTGACGCCTTCCATCTACATGAATATATATGTGACTCAAAGGCTCAGATAATTTGTTTGCATTTTACAGCAACAATAAGAAATCATGCTAATATTGAATTGGATAATTGAATCTGCTAATTTCCCATTACAAATTCTATCCACTCCTATCTGCTGTGGACTACTCAGTTTAAGGAATAAAAATCTTACTTCAATGAGCATCAGTGGGTTCAGCAGAAATATCCATGAGTAACTGGATTACAAATTAAGCCAAAGCTATCAGAAGAGTGAAAGTGAAATCTTGACCCTGACAAAGGTCACATGTTTTTCTGACTTGATCTGATCAATAACTAGCACCTAAGAGATGGGCACTGCATGCTTTCAACAGAGGTACCAGCTCATAGGTGGAGTTAAATGCCAAGGATCCCAAATTGGACCATGATGGGAATGAGACACCTCGAAATGAGACCAAAAGCACCCCACACACAAAGTACTGCCTGCAGTAACTGTGTACAAGTAAGAAGTAATTCAGAGCATAAGGTTATGTAAATTCATCCCCACTCCAGAATGTCCCTCAGAGCCTAATACGCCTCCATCTACTTCAGCTCCAGCGCCTGCGTGCTCACCTCTGTGTCTCCCCAGGCAATCCGGCCACACAGACACAATGCCAGTAACATTGACTGAGTGAACATTGCCCTCTGAGCCTGGTTATGGTTTGCCCCACCTATCAGGTACGTCAGACAATCCCACTAATTCTTCTCGCCTTCCGAATTTACGTCTTGGTTGAAGCTGAAGTCCCTGGCTCTTGCTTCCAGATTCCTTCGTCCCAGTCTCATTCGATCTCTGCTTGCTATTTTTCCAAATTCCTTCCCTGTGACATGGCCTTGCTGACCTTTCTGGGATTTGCCCTTCTATGTGTTTTAAGGGTCTCTTGGCTTCTCTGGCTTCACAGCCTATTGCTGTGGCTGCAATTCTGGCTGGCATGTTCCCGAGCTAATTTAGTTCCTAGCCTTGGCTTTCCTTGGTCATAATATTTAGTTGCATTTTCCATTTTTGATTCCAGGCTGTCTTTAACCACCGGGAATGATCACCCACATCTCGCCATGTCTGATGATTTACTGAGGACATGTATTTATGCCTTTTTTTTTCAAGGCATGCAGTGGAACTCACTCCTTCTCTTTTCAGGTGTAGCCAGGGAACCTCTAGTCTTGTTGGGTCAGAAAGAAAACATTAGTGGCGATACAACTGCAAGGTAGAATGTCCCCTTGTAGGTAAGACATTCCTGAATTAAGACCACCATCACTATTTCTACATCATACCTTGAACTCTTGGAAAAAAAAATGGAAGCCGGTACAGCATTTAGTACAGAGCCTGCTATTACTGTGTGTGTTAAACAAGACCCAAATATGCCAACCACAGGGATTCCCAGTGGAGATTTAGGCCAAGCAATACCTAGTTTTTAGCTCCTTGTCAGACTTAGGCAAGAAGCACCCAACAGTAAGTCCTGTGAAGACTGAGGCAGTTCTGGGCATGTGGAGAGGTGAATCCCTAAGTACCTGGGGCACTTTCAAGACAAACAGGGAGGCACCCCTGGAATTTAGGAGCCCGCAGGGTTAGGTGTCAAATGAATGTGGGATTCCAGGACCATAGTTTGGATCTTACGTGTTTTATGTGGGACACAGGCAGGATTTTGGCCTCTGCGTACTTCATTGCCCTTTTCTCACCAGCTCCAAAGTGTGGGAATCCAAGCCACTCTTCATGTGGATTACCTGAATCTCAAATATTTGCTTGCGTGTACTGTTTCTGGAGGAAATTTCAAACCTCTGTTGTATTGGGAAAGAAGACAAAATATTTGGTGACAAAGTTGATGATAGTCCATTCCTATTTTTCTATAATATGCTTATGGACTTTAGATTGTTTTTTCATATATATCGTGCCACATATTGGAACAGTTTTATATTAGGACAGTGTTTCTGTTTTGAAACAATGAAAAAGGAAAAAGCTTTATCTCAACTTGTGTGCTATTTAGTTTCTGTAACAGCTTCATAGATTTTGAGTCTGTATTTTTCTATTTCTCATTGTAATTCTAAAATCAGCATGTTTCTGGGGGTTTTTTTGGTAAATCTCACATACAGTGTGCAGTCAAGCTAGGTGGATGTCGAATATGATAAAGTCTAATCTAGATACCCAATCATCTTCTTTTTCACCATGTTGGAATGAAACCAAACAGGAGAAGGATAATTTGTTGCATAATATCTTTCTATGATATGAATTACTATGAACTGTTGCAAAATTGTGTTGGTTCAGATAAAAGCTAGACCGACTTGTTCTGTTGCATGTGTTAGGACTGCTGACATAAACATGACCGTCATTTAAAGTTTCTTAAATGAGTGGCTAATTCTAATGAATTTGTGTCTTAACTAATGGTCTTAAAAATGCCTTTCCTGAAAGAAGAGGTCCAGATCTTTTAGATGAGTCTAAGAACGAGGACTGACAGAAGTACTGAGCCTCCACAGATCTGTTTGGATCGAGATCACATGTTGTTCTGACACTGCCACATTTAACACCCAGACTTTAATTTCAGCCAAAGTTTGAATAAATATTATCAAGCATATTCCCTTCACCTACGGTTTTGTTTATCAGAGTATTGTAGCGTATGTTAGCACTGAAGCACAGATGCTGGATACCTCAAAGCTGATGTTGCATGCTTATTTCTTACATGTGTTGCTCCAGAGGGATTCTTAACTCTGCATGTTTTCTAGGTACTCCATGATGCTAATGCTGATCCAGACCTTGGCAAGATAATCTAAAAGGATTTGAAAAGATGCATGCCCTGCACTTCTCCTCTTTTCTGTTCCGTGATTTAAACTGTATGTGCTCAGGCCATGCTTGTTTTTTTTTTTTTTGGTGTGGGATGAAGTAACACAGGTCTGCTGAACGTACCCTCAGTCATCTGGTGTGCTGAGGAGAACTGCGGGTTCCCGGTGGGTACAGTGGCAGGGAGAGGAGGCTGATGAACATTGTAAAATGCCATGGTTTTATGCCAGTTGTGGATCTCTAGCCAAAGAAATAGAAAGGAATCATTTTAGGCTAAAATAGAAGAGGTACAGCTATTTGGATCTTTACAGTGTATGGTCTGTGTCCAAAAATACTGTCCAGACAGAGGGAACAGGACCTCCTGCTTTGTTCCTAGCCATCCGTCAAGGCTGCATGCTACCTGTCGTCAGGTCTCCCGTCTCCATCCTTGGAGATACTTGGAACCCAACTGGACATGGGCCTGAGTTACCTGCTCTTCCTGACCCTGCTTGAGCAGGGGGGCTGCACTAGAAGACCTTCAGAGGTCCCTTCCCACCTGAAATATTCTACGATTCAGTGATTTCCGTGCTTACATAAATTGTCTTACTGAGACGGACATTCTTTTCTTGATCCCTTATGCATTTCCTGAGGGTACAACTGTCTACCTTTCCAGTTCTGCCTAATTTTGTCATGACACATATTTAATTTTGGGAAAAATCACTTTCTTCACAGGTTAATCTTCGTAGGTTTAGTTAATCGCTAGCCTAGAAAATTACACACCACACAGGAAAATAACTGAATTTGTCCGCCAAACAGGTGTACATACTGCTTTGGGTAAACCAGTAGTATAGGTAGGGCTGGGCTGCTGAGCCAAACCCCTTCTGTATTTTGTCTTCCCCTGCCTTGCTCACATCCTTGTCCTCCTGCTGTAAAACGCCCAGCATTAATTTATGTCCATCTCAATTTATGTAGTGTTCGTCAACTATCAGCCGATTATGACCATTTCATAACAGTGAATTCAAAGTTCTTCCAGCATACAGACTTCCAACATTTTAATTATCTCATGTTAGCATTTTTAGCAGGCAATTACAACCTCCCTGTCCCGCCAGTACCAAGCAAAACCAGAACAAACAAAACACCCTAAAAGCTCCCTGTACCAGACAAATGCACGCTTGTCAGCTACAGTTTTAGGACAGACGGCGTCCGTCGGCGCAGGGCAGTAAGTCTCCTAAGGAAAGCTGAAGACCTCAGGGCCATGGAAGAGAAGATTCCTAAAAGCACCGAAGGACCCGTGGGACCACCACGTCGTGGCAGGGGCCGGTCACGACACGACGTGACGTGACGCTGCTCCCCGTTGCGAGCCGGCCAGAGGTGCGTGGTCCAGCCTGACCCCTCCGGGGGGGGGGGGGGGGGGGGAACGGCTCTGCCTCCCCGCGAAACCGGCCCCTCCTCGGCGGAGTAACGAGCCGCCGCGACGGTTAGAGCCGATTTATTCCCAGGGAGAGAGGGATAAGCAGCTAATTAATTAATGTCGCGGGCACCGGGACAACAACAACAACAAAAAAAAAACAAAAACAAAAACAAAAAAAAAAAAGTGGTACCGCTTCGGGGTCGGGGTGTGCTGGCTCCTGAGGAGCCCCCTCGGCTTCTGCGGGGGGGGCGTGGGGGGCGCAGCGGGTACCCCGCGGGGGGGGGGTGTGGGGATGCGGCGGCCCCGGCGCGGCGCGGGAGGGCGCGCAGCCTTTCCCCGCCGCTTGCACAAGTGTCCAGGGCGCGGGGTGACACCCGCGGGTGAGCAGAACACAACAACAAGATAATGGGCCCCTAACGCGCACCCTGGGCACGGATCCCACGCCGGCCGCTCCCTTTCCTGGGCCACCGGCGGCTGAGCCGCGGCTCGTTCCGCGGGGAGGGACCGACGCGGCCGGCGGTGGGCAGGGAGGGAGGGAGGGCGGGAAGGAGGGAGGGAGGGAGGGAATCGCCTTATTAAACCCATACACCGAGGCGGGCGGCTGCCACCGCCGCCCCGTCCATGCCGGCGGACAGCCCTAAACCGCCGGGAGGGCCGCGCTGCCCCCGCTGCCGCTCCTGCCCCGGCTGCCGGCGGGAGGGCACCGGCACCGGCACCGGGCAGAGCCCCGCGGGGCCCGGCATGGCGCGGCGCGGCCGTTTCCAACGTTTCTTCGGCCGCAGCGAGTCGGACGACTCGGAGACCGAAGGGGCGGCCGCCGCTCCCCCCGCTCCCCGCCGCCGCGCCCCCCCTCCCGCCGCCGCCTCCTCCTCCTCCTCCTCCTCCTCCTCCGCGCCCAAGCGGCGCCCCGCGTTCCCCCACTGGCGCCCGAAGAAGAAGGAGCAGCACCCCCGGGGGGGCGGCGGGGCCGCTCCCGCCTGGACCCCGCCGCCCGCCTCACCCCTCGGCTCCCCGGCCCCGCGGTAAGCGCGACCCCCCCCAACCCCACGCCACCTCACCGAGGGCGGCGGGGGTGGGGGGGGGAGAGGACGGCGCGGGGGGGTGGTTTGGCGGGCAGGGCAGGGATGGAAGCCAGGATTTGGGGTTTTTTTCGTTTTCTCCCGAGGAGGGAAGCGCGTGTCCCGCGGTTGCCCCAACCGCCTGGCAGCGCCCGGGTGAATAACTAACAGTCACCCCGTGCCCCACGCAGGGGGAGGCTTCTGGCCCCAAACAGCCTCCCCGAGCGTGGCTGGTGCGTGGGAAGGGCTTTCGCTCTTCTGTAGCAGCGGGCTCGCTCTGTGCTCGCTTTTCCTGGACGTGGGAATGGAGGGAGAGGAGAGAGGGGGGCTTGACAGGGATGGGTGAAGGGCTTGGCACCGCTTGCCTACGCTGCTCCCCGTAGCTGTTGCTCCCCAGTGTGGTTCCAAGTCTCCCAAGAGCAATGACCATCTAACACACGCTGGCTTACAAATTCTTGAGGACACGAGCGTTCCCCCCGGGGTTGTTTGCAGCCTGTGGCCGCAGCCCGGGGAAGCTCCGTGAGGCTGGGGGGTTGATGGGCAGTAGAGCTTTTCGACGCGAAGGTAGTTCGCAGCAGGGTACGGTGAATTTGGGGTTGCGTCAGGAATGGGTTCGGTTAATACTGCTCAGCTTTGAACAGCAAGACCTGGGCAACGGGGTGATGCCGGTGCTACCCGGATTTAAAAAAAAAACAAACCAACCAACCCGATTGGGCTCTCAGGAATATGGTTCAGACTGAGAAATCTGTAAGTTACAGAAGGTGATTCTGTGTGTAAATATATATATATATATATATTAGTTATACTGAAAATGCCAGTACTTACCTAAAAGTAGACATCATGTAGGTGTGTGGACTTAACTGAAGTATAGTCTAATGATGTTTGTATTTGGTATTGGTATGTATTATTGAAAACTTCAGGCACCAACATCTTTTATAAAAGGAAGCAAAAAATCTTATGTTTACATATTTATAGGAAAAATAAAATTAAGTCTGCTTTCCAGAACTATTAAACCAGGAAATTATGTGTTTCACAATGCTGTTGAATGGCCAAGCTCAGGGTGATGCTACAGGTGACTTCAACAGGAACAGACCCCTCTTCTGCCCTCCAAAAGCCAGATAAAACAGAAGGGGATCATGGTGTAGTTTGGGTAGGAAGGGAGCCCCAAGAGTGGCCAGCTCTGGTTGCTCAGGACCGTGTCCAGTTGAGTTCTGATATCTTTCAAGAACAGAGAGCGCACAACAGCTCTGGGAAAGCTGCATCACTGCCTACGTGTGAGAAGGTTACTCCTGGTAGTAGGTTGGAACACCTTCCCTTTCAGTTGATGGCCTCTGCTGCACCTGCCGTGCCCTACCGAAGAGCCTCTTGGCTCTTCTTGGTGACCCTCGCATGCAGATGGGCAGGCAAAATGATGGGTCATCTCCGAGGTCACCTCTTCCCTGGGCTGAACCAGCCCAGCTCCCCCAGTCTCTCCTTTCAGGGCAAGAGCACCAGCCCCTGAGAACCTTGGGGCCCTGGGCTCAACTTGCCCCAGTTCATCAACATCTGTTTTGTGCTGAGAGGGCCCAAAACCAAACAGAGTATCTAGATGTGGCCAAATGAGTGGTGAGAAAAGTGGGATAAGTCTTCAGGTGTGAGTTCCTTTTTCTTCCAGACTCCTTGCTAGGTCTGCCGTGCTAAACCAAAACAGAAATGCTCTGTGGGATTTGGGGTTCAGTTCTTACACCTGAAAATATTGGAGGATGTTTTTACTGCATAAATTTGTTACCAAATTCTGTGCCTAAAATACACGTGAAGTCTAACAGTTGCAAGGCTTCTGAAATGGTAGGGTGGTAACTCCTGTTACAAAATACTGTTTTTTTTCTTTTTGGTCAGGGAACTAATCATTCCGCTATTGATAACAGGTTGGGCTTGTGCTTCAGCACATGGAAGTGCACATGTATGGCACTATCATTAACTGCAGTCGGCCATCTTCAGAGAGCACAAACTTCTCTTGTTTGTGTAGCTTTCCACCACCCTTGATTTTTGAAAAATGGAATAAACAAAGCCTTTAATACACAGTCAAAACCACTCAGTGCATTTTTTAAATATGTTAAAGATTATGCTAACATTTCTCAGAAGACTTTGTTTGAAGTACTTTTTTTTAGTACATGAATGGCAGGCTGCAGTGCATGGTTGCAAGAATGCTGTATAGGCCAAGTAAATAACAGTGATGATTTTGAAAATTTGAGATGCTTAATAAATGGCCATGGCTTTTGCTATGAGTGGGACATGGTTTGGCACATAACTAGCATGACAGCTGGCAGTTTGGAGACACATATTTATATGATACTCCAGTTTAAAATTTATCTGATGAGCTGTTTTGCTATTCTTACGTTATTTTTTCAGGTAGCCAGTACTTTTCCTTGCTGTTAATTACTTATCTTGAAAAGCAGTAGCCAGTATGACATAAAAGCATCTTACCATAAAAACCAAACAAGAAGCTCAGCTCCTTTAGACTTGAGGCTACGAGTGTGCATTCTTCTGCCCTGATGAAGTTTGTGTTGTACTGCCTCTGTTCACGGGTGTCTGAGGTTAAATCAGGGAAGCCACATGAACTCCTCTGGTCTCTTTTTCCAGCAAAAGCTTGTAGAACCTTTTTCCCGAAGATAATAGCTACAAATTGGAGCCTCTACACAGAAGAAGGTGCAGTGAAAGAGAAGAATGAGAAAGAGCGGTTGTTGTCACCATGCCATAGAAAACTGCACCATGTTAAGAAACTAAATTTTACTTGTTGCCTTGGAAGTCATGTCCCTAGAAAGTTGTCATGTCTTGGACATTGAGTGATCTCCACCCAAGGGCAACTTTAAAATGAAGATGGTGACTTGGATTTGAACTTTGAAGCAGGAAGTTGATTACAGGAGGACAAAGAAAATTGTATATCTTTGGGGTGTGATTGTTTAGCTACTCAATGAATCTGGAACTTTCGGTATTTAATGGTCAAGACCAGACAAGTTGCTTCAGTCCCGTTATGAATTGGCTAACACATAAATGACAGTAGCTAGATTCTTTCCCAAAACTTGTCGGTGTAGTCACCATGAAAAAAAGAGGAGATTTTTGCTGCTTTTTACTTCCTCTGTTTCAAGAAATACTGATAATTTGGTGTTGGCCTTGGTATTGGGCATGCGAGGACTGCTACCACCAGCAACACCCCTTGCCTTTACTACTTTCCTCTCCCCTGATTAAATTCAACTCAGCTCGTCTTCATCAACATACTAAATATATGAAGGCAAAGAAACCTATGTGACTGTTACTCTACAATGATTTGGCAGGGAAACAAAAATTAATTAGCGTTCAGTAATAGCATAAAAGCAAGCAAAGGGAAACATCATTAGGCTACATGCAAGGAAGGTTAGACTGTGGAATAGTTATACCTTATCTAGGAGAGGAACATACACATTCAGGAGGGGTGTTGAATGTGAAGAAATGTGTGGCAAGTGGAGAAAGTGGTGGTGAGACCAAGATCTGATATCTCTTCCCTACTGTGATATTCTTTGAATTACTCTTCTTTGACTTACGTATTAGAAGAGATGAAGGAACCATGCTTCACAGCCCGCATGTAACATCACATTTTGCAGAAGGATGAAGAGCAAATGTTTCACCCTCTGCAAAACAGAGCTCATAATAACACAGAAGATTAGTAGCTTGATTGATTAACATGAACAAAATATAGAAAACTGTCATCTAGTCAGCTGTGTTAAATAGTAAAATATGAACCTTCAATTCAATGTACTTCATGTGTGTAACTTGACATATGTGCATTGTCTCATTGAGATTAAAAATGGAATCATTCACCTGTGTTCTTTGCAAGACTGAATATGGATGTCTACAGGTGTTCCTGGTTGCACTTACTTTATGGGAGGTGGAAATGGAAAAAGGTAATATATTTGCAGTATAAGTCTTGGTACTCTGTAATGTAAGCATAATGCCTTAGGAATAAAGATTTATTAGTTTAGTTTTGCTTTATAGAAGAAAGAAGTTCTCTTAAACTGTCGTGATAAAATAATTAAATGCAGAACATTTTTTTGCGCAGATTTTATCTACCCTATGACCTAATGAGGTTATTAAAAAAAAATGAGCTTATTAAAAAACTATGTTTCTAGAAAGATAATACAGTAAGAGGGATGGTATGCTAAAGCATTCACTTACTTTGTTTGCATTCATAAGAGGTCAGAAATACCGTCCTGTGAAAACCTACATAATGACATCTGTGCCATGAAAGTAGTAAGCTGTCTCTCCTGCATGAGTTTAACATCAGCTGCTGTTTCTGTGTTGCTGATTTGTCAGGTTTGGTGGCTGTGAAAACAGCAGTGTGAAGAGTGCTTTCCTTTTCATTTTGTCCTTTTAAAAATCAAACGACAGTCTGAAAAATCTGAACCAGCAAGACTGCTGGTGCCTTCCTGATCAGCCTGCGTAGATGTCAGTCGAAGGGTAAATCGAGTGACATGGAGAAGGGTGGGATCTTGTTCCCGACTTCTGTGGTGCAGAGGAATTGCTGACTTTATTCATGTTTTTTCCCTTAAATCAGAAAAAATGATCTTAAAAAATAAAGTGAGTTAGTGAACTCTTGCCATTCACAGTCAAGGAATTTTTCCTTTTTTTGGGGGGGTTGCTTCTACCTTACATGTTTATTTTAGAGAGATAGCATACCCTACTATATTTGGATGAATCCAATCCGTAATAGTGGTGAGTACCATTGAGGTGATAGGAGTTCTGTACTGAATAGTTAAATGTTTATTAAAACAAGGACTGTTGTGAAAAATCAGGTTGTAGCCTACTGAAACTGGGCACTGGTCTTGACATCTTTGCTTTTAGTGTGTCAGATCCACACTTCAAAATGGTGAAAAAAGGAAATACAAAGTTGTTTTGAGAAATTACTATTATAAAACACCATCTGGAAGCCACACAGGAAGGTGCACAATCAA